TTTTTAAAGTAGGTTGTCCAGGCAAAGCAGAACAATTGAATTGAATGTTGAATGTCAAGATATCAAATTTAATGAAAGAGTGTCCTCTTTATAGTGTAGTGAGTGCTTATGCCTGCTTACGTTAAGGTTCAATTTGTCTGCAGTGATTTTTCTTTAGCAAAGCTTTATTTAGACATTTCTGTATCATGAAGAGAAAATAACACACAACAATGACTAAGAGATCAATGTCTTATTTTCCTTTTTGGTATTCAGTTATACAGATAAACTGTGACTCAGTGACATAAGAGAGTCTTATCTTTTTAAATCAAGAGTATTTCATTGATTCCAAAGATGACAGCAGCATAATCGAGAAAAGCATCTTTTCCAAGTGAATTTCTCACAAGGATATTTGACAGATAAAAATTCAATTATAGTTAGAAAAACAACAAAACAAAAATCACCCAACTTACTTTACTTTCGTTAAAGGTATCTCTTTTTTTTTTCCTGATGAAAAACTTCCAGTGAAATTATAAGTGATGTTGTAGTTAGAGCAGTCTTTGTTCTGTACCAGAACTGGCTTTTTTCTTTACCAGAACTGCTAGGAACATTCTCATTCTTTCTGAGATAGAATACTATCTCCTTTTTAAAATACTAAGTTGTTCAAGCTTTCAAACCATCCTAAACTCTCTGATAGCTCTAGATTTCATCTTCTGATTATTTTACTTACATTTACCAAGATCTGTTTTATATTGTATACAATATTGTGTTTTGAGATCTACTAGTCTGCCACATACTACCCTGATAAGCATCTAGGCTTCCAGGAGATTTACTTACCAAACAATCCAAACACTAGGACGGTGAGTTATCTTATAAATGCATAATGCTGTAACAGTATCCAGGCAGATGTCACATCTCTTTGTGCACACCTACCTCTTCCTCTTCACTTACTGATGCATGAGAATTGTGAAAGTTCTCCAGGAGAGATATGTTTGCTTTGATGCTTCTCTTTAGGGACAGAGAAATACTCATACAAGTTCCAACCAAAAAGTGAAAAAGGAACTTTGCAGATCCAACATGAGCTATGCTGGATCATAGGAGATAAATTGTCTTACAGAGACAGTTGTAAACTACCATAACCCATGGTATGAATGTTTTTTCTCCAGTTAAACATATCCACTTGAAAATTATATAACACTTTTGGAAAATGCTTTATGTCTCTGATCTCCAAAGTCTATAAAATTAGGTAACATTGATAGCACATATTGTTAGGGGCTGTATTTTGGGGCAGGAAAGAATTATAACATTGTTATCAATACCATGGATTTTTCCAAACCAAAAAAAAAAAAAAAAAAAAAAAAGCAAAAACAAAACAAAACGCAAATCAAACTTACTTTATCTTCTTTTTCCTCCCCCCACCAAGCAAACTCCAAAAGGAGTTTCTCTAAGACTTATTTTGACTTAAACAGTGACAGGTTTATGATCTATTTTTGGAATCTAGAATATTCTTTCTAAAATTATCTTCCAGTTGTTTTGAGTAGTTCTGTATGAAATGGCTATGTTTAATTCCTATGTTAGGAATTAATCCTTTTTTTTTTTTTTTCATGTAAAATACAGAAATCTCTTCACACTTTTCCATGCATTTTATAAATCAGAAAAAATAAGCAATGGTGTCAGTGAAATCCTACTCACATAACAAACTCCATCCACTAGGAAAGCATTTGATATGTGTAAAATAGTACTCAAATGACATAGCAGAGATTTCAAAAACAACTTTTTCTGCTATGACAGCTGAATCTCCACTTTGAATGGCCTAGATTAATTCTCCCATTTGGAAGCATGGGAACAATAGGCACATTTGTCTGAACTTGGCACTCAGAGCTATGCAATTGCTTAAGTATCTCAGTTTTCACATTAGAAATATTTTTGTCATCACCACTGAAGTGAAGATAGTACAAGTTACAGATACAAGTAATGAAGACACTGCACTATTACTCTGCAAATAGCTGTGGGGTGGTGATTGAGGCCATAAGCCAGGAAGAAGGGTCCCTGGTCTTATTCCTGTGCCAAGACAAACTAGATTACTATTAGGAGAGATGCAGACCTGGGAAGAGTTTTGCTGGTGCCTTAGTTCTGCGTTTGACTCTGTAAGAGAGCCTTCTGAACCTGCCTTTCCCCATTCCAGGCCAATGGATTTTGAAAAACAGACTGGGAGAAAAGAAATACTCAAGGCCTTTCTAGTACAATTTTGTATTCAGTAGTTTATGTGTATTTCTTTAATACTGCTGGCCCCTCTCTGTGCTTCCTTGATGTTATTAACAACAATGAAATTTAAATTGCTAGACCTATCAAAGCCACACAAGCAAAACACACTGATATTAGCTGGAAGGGGCAGTTCATGAACCTCAGAACCTTTGCTTCAGATCCTTTGTAGGTCCACATCAATCACTGTATCATGCAACTGAAGTAAATGTTAACTAACCTAAAAAAAAGGAACTACTAAGTTGGAAAATAAACTTCAGAAAATACAGACCTTGCTGACCGCCAAAACCCAGGTTAGAGTACAACATTTTGTTGACTAAAGCTGGGGTCAATTGTAAGCTACTGAAATCAAAAAGCAGCAGCTGATGCTCTGAGACCACAACTTTTGACATTTGACACATACATTTGACAGTCTTTTGTTCCTTTTTTTAATTTTTTTTTTTTTTTGGTAAATAAACTCCAGCAGGTGTTAATGCACAAAAAGACCAGAGAAAATATTTCATAGATCATACCATATTTTTCTCCTATTTCTCTTCCTAATGAGAAATTTCTTCTTAGATCATTTAAGTCTGCACTGGTGGCAAATACATCACTGAGAATGGATTACCTATATGGAAAAATCTTTTCTGTGATTTAATTAAACCAAAGCAATTTTTGATTTTTATCAACAGTGAAACGTATTCAAATACTTACAGCAATTAAAAGTTAGAAGGGGCTGGAGGACTAAAGATATATAAATGAGACGCCTAACAAATGTTCTGTCAAATGTCCTGAAAATTCTTTATTCTTAGCAGCCTTTATCTGCTGCTTACTATGAAAAGAGTAAGTAGTTATCATTGCAGTGGTATTACTAAAACACAGATAAAAATCACCAGGTAAATATCTTTTCCATTTTTGGAGCTAGTATTCCTTTTCACTATTTCACTATAAACAATAAAAGGTATATAAAGAATGATCACTTACTACTTGAAGTAAAGAAAGATACCCAAATCCTACATTATCAAAGTTTACTTTCACGTTTTTCCATCGGGCACTCTGATTGTTTTTTATGAGTTCCTCGCACTGACTAAAATTGTTGATTTGGTCGACTTCAAACCTTTCATCAGTTGTGGTGTTAACACAGTAGTAGAACTTCCCAGCAAACAGATTTACTCCCATGATGCTGAAAATGAGCCAGAATATAAGACAAACGAGAAGCACGTTCATGATGGATGGAATTGCTCCTAAAAGGGCATTCACAACCACCTAGTACACAAATACAGGGGGAAAAAGAAAAGAGTGTAAGAATACTTACAGCAATGAGGTTTTGTATACTGTTTTACCAATGCTTAATAAATGTTAAGAAACTAGTACTGTAAATGCTAATGCAATACATTGATAATTGTAGCACTGCACTGTTCTTTTGAACATTAAATATTAGTACGGGTTATGAAAGAAAAATAAGTGAGAAAAATAAAATAGCTGAAAATAAAACAAAACAGAAGACCTGGTGGTAGTAAGATGAGGCCTGACACTGATGTTTCCGTATAAAAAAATGTATGTGTTAAGTACAAATATGGAAGTAATAATAATCTAAAAATGCAACAAATCATAGCTTAAAGATGATTTAAATAAAAGTGGCAACCTGTAGATTTAAGCAACATAGCTTTGAAATTCAAGCTGAATACACAAATGCCATGAATCTAGAAACTAAGTCTCTATTAAAAGGATTATGCAGGAATATACATATCTTTATTGCCTTATTGATCCATGCAAGATTATAACAAAGATTAATTTCTTTGTATAGAAAAGCAAGACAGTTTTGCAATATGTTTCTATTTGAATCAAAATAATTTTATTTCAAGCTCCAGTCTTATTGTTTCATTTATCGAGTTTAAGTCAGTCAATACCCTTCATTTATCTAAAGAAAGATAAGTACCAAGGACATATTTAGGATTTTGATTTTGCATTTTGAGTTATTTTTGGCTAGTTGTCTGCCCAGCCCCTTGTAGGCAAGAGGTGAATAATTACTTATGTGGAAAAATATATTTTCTGATAGATATAGTAAGCAATTGCATGTGTCTGTCAAAGCTACAAAACTTTTGTGGTATCTGCTTGGCTGAACAGCTGAGTAATCACTTCTGCTTAAATAGACAATGCCAGATCTTATCATTTACTAATTACATTACATTTAAAATTTTATTTTCTTCTCTGTAAAACTTTATTACTATATAGGAAGATAAACAGAACATATATTAGGGGATCTGTTTCTCAGTGATCCAACTCCTACAGTAAGGCAGGAATGGACTGGAGTGAGTATTTGGGTTATATTACGATGTCTAAAACCATCTTTGTTGTCCTTGCTTTCTGCAGCACGCAGGAATCTTCCGACTGTCAGTATGATTTCCAGCAAGCTCAGAGCTGCTCAGTCTTACTACCTGTGTTTCACAGCCTCTTGAAGGCTTTTGGAAGCAGAGTGTCGTGGCAGTGTTACTCGTCACTCAGCACTCTCCTCCTCCCAAAAGTTATGGCCAGGAATTAGGACCTGTTTAGAGATCTTAGATATAAATGTTATTTTCAGGGCATATTTACATGTCATTTTAAGGATCTCCTCTTTTGCCAGAGGGTAGAAATATTTGTTACATAGAATTATCCTATCATTTATAAAAATCTGAACATTTAAGGATTTAAATTTAATGAGCAGTTTTTGGTTTTGGTGATAACTTTAAAAAAGGCATACTTGTACTCTTGAGATTTCTATTACAGAAAAAGTGAAATATTTAGGTCAGATGTGCAAGAGCTAGTCACATGTCAAAATTTTTACTTAAAAGGGCTAATAAAGTCTGATTATAAGAATCTTAATCTTAAAGGAATGAGGGAAATCTTGTCTCACTATCCAGTACAGGGAATCAATCTGTTGCTATTTAGGTTGATGAAATAGAGAAAAACACAAAAATAAGGAATGATTCAGGAAATTATTCGCAGTCTGACCTGATCTATGTCACTGCATTATGGTATTGCTGTTTTGCATTTCTAGGCCAGCTAGTGCCTCTTTCCTGTTCAGGATGCATTTTGGATTGAGATTCATCTGTTTAGTGTTAATGACAAACCTGAAAATAGAAATGTCAAGAAATGAAGATGGGAATTTACTCCCACAACTCAAATAAATTAAGGTTACCTGCACTCACATGAAGGAATGGCTTTGTTGCATAAATTGAATGCTTGTGGCAATTACCTTATGAACAACTCTGAGATCCACTGGACCACAGCACAGATCCAGAACAGGCAGCAGAATGCTAACAGCTACAATAATTGTTACAACAGTTAAGAACTGAAAATAGTTGTAGAAAGAAAGATTTCTACAAAATGCCATCCAAGGGTTTCGCATCGTCAGATGAACATGTAATGCAGTCTCTCTATTGAGACTACCAAAAAAGATTCTGAGTAAGAACTGAACAGCTTCCAACAACTGTTCCAATAACGGTTCCAACATCTTAATTCATATAGGTCACTGAATACCCATCAAATGGTAACAATTTTTGGTCACTACTGACCTGGCCTGGATGCGAACTGGTGACCTAGAGATGAAAGGCTCTGTATCCTATTACCAACCCCTTGAGCTATCCAGTCCCCCTGGAAGGTTTTTTAAGAAAAGAAGAAAAGAAAATTAAAACTTTTAGAAGTCATTTTCTGTTTGTGTTGTTGTTGTTGTTGTTTTTTGCTATTTTTTTCCCCAAAAGTGTTGAGCCTTTTTCCTACTTATATATAATGTGAAACTGGATTTTTACATGCTGGTCGAACGCTATGGGGCTGACTGTGAATTCCGTTTTGGGAAGAAGTCTTTAATTTCTTCAAAATGGTTGGAGGCAATAACTTTTTCTTTTTTTTTTCCTCCCATTTATTTTTTCTGTGTTGTATTTGGGAACACTTAAGGTATTTTAGGATAATAAGGATATCATCTTACATAATAAATCCATGGTAGGAGCTGTACATACACAAACACAACACCTTCACACATAAATTTCTACAAATAGTCACAAAAAAGAGAACCAATTATAAATTAAACTGAATGCAGAAGAGAAGTCAAGTAGCATTTCTTCAACAGTTAAACAATTTAGCAAATAAAAACCTGCTGGTCTCCTCTTGTTAGAAACATGCTGAAAAATACAAAGTTTTTGATCTTTTATTTTTCAAATCTAGATCAAGGGTGTATGATTCTAAATATAATTTTTAAGAGGCTTTTTTTTTTCTGACCTGTTTCTTGTTATTCTTTCATATTGAATATAGTGCCAATAAGTTGGAAAAAAGATGTTCTGGGAGTTTTCCTTTCAAAATTATCTATGCATTCCCTTAGGGCTGGGAATGATAAGTGCCAGGTTCATTCAAGTGAAAAAGCCTCAAAAGCCTCAAGTCTGCATGTACTATGACTTCGAGTATTTGGAATGACAATAAATAAAAGTAAGAATCAACAACTGACACCTGGAAAGTCAAGTGGAATCTATAACATCTTGCATCTCAGCCACTGTTTATCCGGAAAAAAAGAAGTGGCAAATCATAATGATTCTTCTAGAAAAAAGCTGAATCTCATATATGTATATATTCACACAGATTTTTTGTGTTTAGATTTTCGTAACATTCATCTTCCAATCAGAAGTGTATGTAAGGTACAAGAATTACTTCAATGCTAACTGTATGTCTAATCTTCTGACTGACTATGTCAGAAAGAGAATGTGTCTTTTTTTTTGGACAGCATAAGGAATCTGCAGTGGAATACACAAAGTAACAGCTTATCCCTGCTCTATGAATATAAGGCAGTTTTATTAGATTCAGTCTTGCTACATGGCAGGTCCTAAAGCATGGAGTGATTCTCATAACTGTATCATAGGTCTCACAGCAAAACAGTATCAATAAATGCTAGCATCTCAGCAACTAAAGGCTTTAGAGGAATTTGGATATTATATTTCATTAATAGATATATCAAGACCACCTGATACCTGTAAGCAAACCAGCAATTTTGCAAGTAATTTTTGGTCTCTGGTACAAAAGAGAAGAAAATTGCCAATTTTCAGGAACAAAAAAAAAAAAAAAAGAAAAGAAGAAATATAGGATTATGTCTGGAACAGTCTTCCTAATAAAAAGGAAGAACTGAAGTGTCTATCTACTTTATCTGCTTTGATCTAGCTTTTTCTAATCTGAGTAACAGAATTTCACCTAAGACTTGATGTGTCTGGTCTCTTATCTTAGTTCTCTGCAGGTGCATATTGAAGTCTAGGGAGGTTATTAAATTGTTATGATTCCCCAGATTTATTTTCTGTACATACTTTCTTAAATAATATTAATGTACACAAGCACCAAAGGGAGAAAAAATTTTACCTCATCAGTACCTTTAGGGATGAAAGCAAATTTTGTCTTCTCTGCATGTTTGAAAAATGTTGTAACAAGCGTGGGACGTGCTCCTCCCACATGTACTTCCTTACTAGTTGAGAAAGCATAAGAAAACCTTCAGGAATTTCAAGGAAGAAGAGGAAAGAATAGGCTTGAATACACATATCTCAAAGATGAAGAATTTCTCTCTCTTTAAGCAACTCTGTAAAAAGTCATTCTTATGTCTCAGTAGTACAGAGGCTGAAGATCCAGTTGTTCATAGGCTGCAGAGACAGTTGGCAATAGTAATACCTAGCATTAGGAAGGAAGATCAATTACTGACTCAGAAGAACCTCTGAAATTGCCTTGGGCTGGATTGGAGGGTGTCTTGTAAGTCTTGCTTTGTCTTGAACAAATGTAATACAAGAATATTTGCTATAAGATCTCAAATCCCTCCTGCTCACCCGGCCAATGTCTGAATGTACGCAAACCTCTGAGAGACAGCATTTATTGAAAGATAAAGAATATAGTTATATGGCTGGCCTATCACAGAGTAAGGTGCTGGAATGAGCAGGCAGGCATACGATGAGCGGAGAGGGGCTCAGGTGGCACCCATGATCTAAATTTAACATATTCACATCAACATTGGATAAATTTCAGGACTTCATGCTAAGAAATTTAAAAGATGCTGAAACAACACTGACTTGACAAGGAAGAGCACATCAGGGTAACTACAGCTGTATTCTGTCTTAAACCGTGGATGAGTCGAGGCAAGAGAATAAAACACAAAAGGAATACAGTAAATTTCCTAGTCAGGAGATCAAAGCACATCTGAGCAAGACCATAGAGAAAGCCCATACCTGAATTAAATAGATGGTGCTACCTGCTAGTCTAAGGCAAAGAATAATTGGAACAAAACCTTTGTCCTGAAAGCTATCACTCCCTGTTCTCTCTGTTCATGAATTAAAAACTTGAAATAGCTCAGCCCAACAGCCCAACAGCTCATTTCTTTTTATCATGGTAGCATTAGTATGCCAGCATATTAGCCAAGTATGCCAAGCACCAACAGTCAGCAGTGACATCAGTAACTCCTGTCCAGTAGCTTGAATTCAATGTATGGCTCTCCTTCATGTATATTTAACTAGATTTATTTTTCATTGTTTCATGAACTCTTCTACTGGTGCTCATCCTCCAACATATATGTATTATTCATTTTCTGACTTACCACTAAACTTGGGTGCATGTACCAATTCAATCAGATCTGAAATAAAAAATAGGAACTCTTCTATTTACAGTTGGCATTTATAGACTTTTCTAAATAAGTTTCTACCCACACAGAAAACTAAAATATTTTGGTAATTGCACAGTAAGTCCAAATCCAAAATATGAATCAACCTATTGAAAATTCCTCTTGAAAGGTGATGAGAAATGCAAAGAGATGTAATGTAGAGCAGAAAGTTCCAAGAATTCTTTAAATACCTTCCAAAAATATTTGAATGGTTCCTCAGTCTCCAGGATGAAATTCTTCTCATAATTGTGTTTATGAAGAATGAGGAACATCCTGAAGCTCTCCTGCAGGTTGTTTCTTTGTTATCTTTTCACTCTTTGGGTTCAGAGGTGTCTTGTGATTTATGGCCTTTCACTACTCAAATTACACAGATAATCTAGAACTTTGTACATGAGTGGTATGATGTAAGACCGTGCTAGGTTTGTAGAAAAGAAATGTGCAAATTCTCATTTGCTTTGTCAAGTAAAAAGAGGAAGCGCATGCACCTGCTGGGCAACCAATGATGACAAATTCTTAATTAACAAGCAAAATCAACAGAAAAAAATCTCAGCAAACATAATTTTCATCAATTATCAGATCATCCACCAGTGCAGTGAAGTAATTTGCTAGTATCCAAGTTTGAGCTCAGGTTACAAAGGTGAAAGTGAGCTTAAACATTTAAATAATTCAAATTAAAAGTATAAAATCTTTTTAGTATAAAAGTATAAAATAGGGTGAAAATTGTAAGAACCTGCTTTTTAGAGCTGCAAATAGAAAGGAAAACTCTGGAGCTAACTAAGAAAATGCAAAGACAGGCAGATGGAAAGGATCAGAGACTTTAACAAGAGCAGAACAACTTAGTTAAAATTACTGAAATACAAAATGGAAGTAAGAGACAAAAGATCTCAGAGGAAAAGGAAAAGGCTTCCTGAACAAGGCAATGCAGTCACTTCTGCTTGTCTGTAAATGTTACTATGCAACTGCAGGTGACTCTGCAGAATGCCTTGGTAACTTTTTTATTCATCTGACAGCCTATTAAAAACAAACTACGTCTTTTATTTAATAAAATACTAGAGTTCTCAGAGCAACTTTACTTCTGTTTCTTACCAGAGATCAAATATATGACAAAATACTTCTGAGACATAAAATAGGAAAGGAAAAAGGGTTATTTAACAGACTATGATGGGCAATAGCTATCTGACAGTCAATACGTCATACGGTAGCAGCTAGATGGGAAGACCCAAAAAGATTGTTAACACAGACAAACTTGAAAATAGAATAATTAGTTGGTGTGGAAACAGTAACTGTTTCAACTATATAAATAACTCCTTCAGAAATGCCCTTATAATTGAAGTTAGAAGTTCCCTTTTAAGTCTCAGAAAAATCTCAAAATACTTAATATTTGCTTTCATTTATGAATACCTATACACAGAGTTTTACATTGAAGTTTGCAAATTTTGTAACTGTGTTTCAGGAGACATAAGCTTGCCAGACTTTCCTTAAAACTTAAAGGCTGGGAATAAGATAACAGTATTCAAACAAAAATTCTTCATAATTCATAAACTTTTGATTGAGAAAATATACACCTCTGTAAAGGTAAGGGAAACTTGAAGAATTTTCTTGAGAGTAAATACACAAACCATAACTGTAACAAGAGATGCTAAATTTACAGGGAATTTTGTTTATATGGATGTACCATTTACACTGCAGCCATAAAAGAACACTGCACAAGCCTCTTACAGTTAGTGCTTGCAAACGGTATAGTCAGAGATTCATTTTTTCCTAAAAACATGATAGTAAATGCATATTTTTGAATTGCTAACATACTTCTTGCATAATATTTCTAAATTCCAAGCAAGATGCTATAAAAATAATGCTTGGAAAGTTCACATAGTTAACTTTCAGTTAATTCTATTTCTGTGACAGAGCTTCTATGAAAGGGATATATATCATACCATATCCCATATAATCTATAAACAATTGGAGTGATTTACTGAAGTAACTGAGTTTAAAAGTTTCAGTAA